TCCTCCTGTGTATCACACACACAACAAACTCCACGAGCCACCAACTCGTGGAGAACACCACACGAGTCTAGACGTCTCTCGCGCAACTCACCACCCCCTTCCCAGCAGCGCCCTGGAGCACGCGGCTGTTCCCGCCTCCTGGGAAGGTGGCATTGCCCTCAGTGTATCCCCCTCCCAATCTTTATTTGCCTCCTTATTCAGCTTGGCTGTCGAAGAAGAGCTTGATTTCACTCCAAAACCCTGCACTCCCTGGGGCCATTGTCTTTGTGACACGCACGGTTGGTGAGGCCTCAAACCTGGATAACCCACCTCTCTGTTCCTTCTTTGCCAAGCGCTGGGGCAAAGGTGGCTCAGCAAGGCGGGCCGGTCCGCTGTGAACTACCTGCCACCCTCCTTTATCTGCCGGGCGACATCGCCCCCATCATCTCACTCTTCCACGGCCTGTAGGGAGCGTCTCAACCTTCTCCATCTCCTTCAGGTGGACTCTTCACTCTGCCACATATGCAATTGTGCACGCGCATGCACACACACACACACACCACACACCAGACAACCTTGCCTCCTACCTCGCATAAAAGAGAGACCCTCAGAAGTACCCTGCTTTCCCCAGCACTCTTCCGCCTCTCCCGGTCTTTCTGAGGTCAATCTCATTCCCCAAACTTTAACAACCATCCTTTATCTGCACCTCAGGACCCTTATACCTCTCTCTTCTGTATTTAAACACTACTTCTCAACTAGATCCTTGCTGTTGACTTTTAAATACGTTCAAGTCTTGCCCATTAAGACAAACCACCACCACCACAAAAAAATAACATGTTCCCCTCTGGCTATTGCTCCATCTCCATCCTTCCCGTCACATCCACAAGAGCCACGTACTTACGGCCTCCCCTCCCACTCTCTCCCTGGCGCACTCCAGCCTGGCTGCCGGGTCCACAGAAACGGGACTAGCCTGTGAACTTATCAGGTTTTCATCTTACCTGACTTCCCAGGAGCCTCTGACACACTCAGCACTTATCCCGTCCCTCCCCTGGGCTCTGGAAAGCCACGTTCTCCTAAATGTCTCCTGTCTCTCTGCTCCTCCTCCTTGTCCCCTCCGCCGATTCCTTGTCTCCTCCCTGTCCTCACGTGTTGATGAGCCCTCCAGCATCTGCGCCTGGTTGTGGCGCTCTCCTCTCTTTGATGGCTTCTTTCTCTCCAGCTGATCTCATTACACCCACAGTTTCATTACTAAGAAATGCAAATCACTTATTATTTTCAATCGCCTGCCCCGGGCTTTTCCTCTGAACTCCATATATCTAATCTCCTATACTTGATATCTCCTTCTGATATCACAAATGAACCTTAGGCTCAATCCGACCCAAACCAGATGGAGGCTCTTTCCCAAACACCATCGCCCAACAAAAGTTACAACCGAAACTCCCTTTCAACATCTCCATCCGTGGTGCCACCACTCACCTAATAATTCAAGACGAGGACTCATCCTTGTACCGCCTTCTTCCTCGTTCCCCATGTCAACACATCACTTACCTATTTTAAATGTCCCCACAGTCTCCCATTTCCCAGAGTGGACGCTGATCCTGAATCCAACCTGCAGAGCCTCCAACTTCATCACCCATCTCAGACCCCTGCTCAGACTGCTCTGTCCAGCCATTCTGACCATCTTCATGGTCCTCACTGGTGAGGTTTGTTGTGCTCCACTTCTGGAATGTTCTTCCCACTCCCCTCACCAAACATTCCCCCTGTTTAGATCCTGAATCACATCACTTCCTCAAGGAAGCTCTCCCTGACTACCCAGATAAGGAAAATTCCTCCTATGAAATGTTTTTTTTTAAAGTACTATTAACTTCTTAGAAAAGCACCTTCCATTGTCATGATTTTATGTTTATTTGTGTGGCTGAAAATTTAATGAGTCAGAGAAATTATCTATTTGTTCTCCATATACAGCAATGTTTGGCCAATAATAATGGCTCGGTGTTTGCTGAATGAATGAATTGAAATAAAATTCAATGAGCAATTTACCTCTGAGGGGTGGTATTGATTACAAATGAGAAAAAGAGACTCTTTTAGGATATTAACCAGGGTGATCATTACACAAATATGAATTGACTTTTACTTCTGACCAAGACACATTAACTGACATTGGACTTGTAAACAGTTGTAAACAGTTTGGAAACTGACAAAATATATTAAACCATTGAGATGCTAAAAAATTGTAGGAAACAATTCAGACATTAGACAACAGGCAGCAAAGAGACACAAATGAAGTAATGATGATTGTTTCCGTTTGCAGCCTCTAGGTGCTTTCTGTATAAGGGAAAGGAACCCAACGAGAGTATGTTGGCTTGCTGACAGAGGAGACAGGCATCGAACTTGGGAAAGCTAAGGGAACTACAGTTTTTGTAGCAAAAAATGTGCATTAGCTGAAGTCCAAAGATAAGTGCTAAGCTCTGTGAGCATGAAATGAAATTCCACCAGGCTGGTCAAAAAACAAAAACAGAATAACTGTGAAGATGGAAGTGGAACAGTTCCCAGAGTTTACACACCATGGGGAGATATTTAGGTTGTGACACCTGGGGCATTCAGTAGAGACCCTAAAAGTGTCACCTATTGACATCAGGCTAAACTAACTTTGGTTTAAAGCTACTCTTAGACACCCTAACACAGTCTGAAAATACGCATTGACAGAAAAAAGCAATTCTGCAGGTAATGTAGTTTGCTGTCAAAACCAGCATCAACACACTATAAGGGAAGACAAGATAATCTTGACAAAAAAGCTATAATTCACAATGTCTAGCATCCAATCAAAAATTGTTAAAAAGCTCTAAGAAAAAGGAAAATGTGATCCATGTCCAGAAGAAAAAATTAGCCAATAGAAACAGACATAACTGAAATTATGGAATTAATCATCAAGGACTTTAAAACAGCTACTTAAATCTGCTTAAATAAGAGAACATTGACATAATGTAAGAAAAATCAAATGTATAAAAAAAAATCAAACTGACCTTTAGAGGTGAAAGATTCAGTCTCTGAAATGAAAACTTCACTGGCTAGGCTTACTAGAAAATTTAAATGGTAGAAGAAATAACTAAGCAATAGGAATTATTCAAACTGAAGAGAGCAAACTGGGGGCAAAAATAACGGTGGTCCAGTGACCCGTGGGACAAAAATCAAGTGGCCTAACATATGTGTAATTGGAGTCTAGGCAAAAAGGAGGTGGAGGAGAACAGAAAAAATGTTGAAGAAATAATGGCCAGAAATGCTTGTGTAATTTACCCTATGTAAACTATACCTAAGTAAAAGAGGCTAAACACAATAAAAGGAAATGAATACAGCCCTGCCATTTCTTTCCCTTTGCTGTGTGATCACACATGATTGTCAGTCTGCCTAGATAGCCCTCCCTACTCTCTTCACCTTGACAAACTCCTTTCCGTCTTGCCAGCTCCAGTTCCAAATCACCCACTCACCAAGTGTTCCTGGATTCCACAAAAAGTCTGCCCCTCCCTTTACAAACACCTTGAGCAAATCACAGCAATTTACCTTCCTGTGTGTCTGCCTCCCTGGTTAGACAGTCTGGACCTTGCGTGGCTTCCTCCAGGGCAGGGAGTGATGGAAGAAGAATAAAGGTGGTGGAGGGAGTGGGAGGGCAGTGGGAGGGAAGGTGGGAGCCCTGAGGGCCAGGCTCTGCTGACTCATCCACACTCAGGGACTTCTGGAAAGACCTACAGTTGGTCAAACACAGGTTGGCCACCTGAAGGACTATGGGGCTTTCCAAACTTGGCTAATCATCAGGAAAGCCTATGGTCTTTCTAAAATGCAGATTCCCTGGCCCCACCTAGAGCTCAGGAGTCAGACTTTTCAGAGAAAGATGAGAAGACTTGAGAGTGGAGAAAGCTGATGCTCCCCCCAACCCCCCACAACTTCTGCCCTTGTTCCAGAGAGAAACTCTCCAAGATTACTTCTAGATCTGAGCTCCTCAGTTCCTGGGGCCTCAGGCTTCCTGGAAAGTGAAGGCCTGTTTCTTCCCAGATCATAAGACCAATCCTGCAACAAAGCAGGAACAGCCCCTCATCCCTGGTCCCATCAAGCTGGGGCCTTATTCCAAGTTCTCCCTCCTCCATGGAGCCTCTCCTGTCATGTTCTGTCCTCTCCAGGTCCTTTCTTTCTAGCCTATAGGATCTCTTGCCTACCTCACACATCTTTGTGCTTTGGTCCCATTTCTGGTTTATGAAGATCTTTATATCACTTCATATACCATATCACTTCATATACCATATCACTTCATATACTTTTCTCTTTATATGTGTATATATACATATTTTTCTTTTTTTTAATTTCACCTTTCTTTGCTGTTACACTGTGGAGCAGATTGGGTGCCTCAAGACTGACCTTGTAATGCCATCTTATCCAAAATTAACCCTTTAGAAGCCTCCCAACAAGGACCCAACATTACCCACTGCAGGCGTGTGCACCTGCCTCACAGGGAAGTGCTCCCCTGGGCCCCCAGCAACCTCTTTTGCCACAACATTGCTCATTTCTTAGCCTGCCTGGATGGTCGCCTGGCTTGTAGGAATCTGAGATGGGAAAGGGAATATGGAAGATCCAGACAGATGTCCAAGCCCTGAGGAGGTTCTTTTCTGACTGTTCATTTGTTTCTGGTTGGTTCTGGCAAGGAGGTCACTATTTCAACATTATGGGACACATAGTTTACTGCCCCACAAGGGCTCTTCATCTTGCAGGGCCCCTCTCCCCAGCCTAGTCCGGGAATCTGCGAGTCCTTTGTTCACAACATGCCAAGAAGAACAACAGCCAAAACAGTCTCCGTGCTGGAACGACACGCGTCTTTCACGGGAGCCCACGCGGCACACCCCCCTCCTCACCCTGGATGCCTTTAACAGGCGTCACTAACACGAATGGGTGCCTACCAGGTGCAAAGTAGATTCACATGCATTACGTCATTTAATTCCCCCCAAATACCATGAGAGATGGCGCTGACGCTCCCCACTTCACAGAGAGGAAAAACTAAGGGTTGGCGCATTTAAGTGCCTTGCCTGTTGTCACAAACCAAATGCAAGGCAGAGCTGGAATTTGAACTTCAGCCCGTCTGATGCCAGGGCCTCCGGCCAACCTCCAGCCACTTGAAGCCCCTGCCAAAGCCCTTAAAGTGAAAGGCCACTAAATGCAACGCAGTATCTTGGATTTGAGCCTGGAACAGAGAAAAGGTTATCAGTGAGAAGATCTGTTGGAATCTAAATGAAGTTCAGTTGCTAGTAAGGTAGCACCGTTAATCCCTCAATTGTGACCAACAACTTGCCGTCAGGTAAGATGCTAACTTTGTGAAAATGGGGGCAGGCGATAAAAAACTCTACCGTCTTCACAGCTTTTCTGTAAATCTGAAATTATTCAACATTTTAAAAATTATATAAAAAAAGAAGAGGCAAGAATATCAATCAGGCACATAAGTCACAGACACATTCCAGCCTTGGCCTGAGACCGGGGGAATCAGAGAGGTGACTTCCGTGAACTCAGAGATTAAACCGTTTCAGGTGCTTTCTGCCCGGGATACTGACCCCCACAGGGACAACATCCAGGTCTCCTTGCTAATCTCCTCAAGGAGGAAGTCTCTCCTTGGTGCCAGCAAGTCTTTAAAGCCATCGGATGGCTGCTAACGTTCCTTTTTAACAAGGTGGAGCAGGCTTCAGGCTCAGAGGCTGCAGCAGACAACAGTCTTGATGGAATTTGATCTCCAGTTTGGTTTGGCTGTGTGTATTTTTAAAGTTAAGTTTTATTTGGGTCAAGTTTTTTTGGTTTTCTATGTATGGTTGTGGTATTAATTTTTCTGTTTGAACATTTTTAACACAAATTGATTTCAAGATCAATCTGGAATGAATAACAGAACAAAAAAAATGGGAATTCAGCCACCGTCATAGAAGTGATTCAGGAATGAATGAAGTCTGGGAAATTGAGGGGAGATGGAAAGCTTCACAGAGAAAGGGTTCCTTGGCCTTGGACTCTTACTGTCACATCTGATCACTGATGTGGTGGCCCAGGAGGGTGGGATTTGCTCTCCCAGCTGGGCCGGAACCAGAGGAAGCCGGCCACCAGACCTTAAGCTCTCACCTGGCTTTTCCACACTGCACTCTGTCTGGCACAGGTTCAGATGCTCAGAAAAATATTTGTTGACTAAATGAATGGGTGGGAGAATGAACATGCAGAAAAACTTTGAAATCAGTCCTGTCACTTTCAATACCAGTGTCAAAGTACTGTCTGAGATAGAAGGGCGTTGGGGAACCATCCCGGGCCACCACACCCCCAATATGGCACAAATGGGAAATGGAGGCCCAGGAAGAAGGTACTTGCCTGGGCCACAGAGTCCACGTGCGGGAAGAGCAGGGCCAGGAAGCAGGACTTCTCACCCGTGATTGTCCTCGCCAGCACCCCAGCCTGTCACTTCTGGTCTATGACCGCACGAATGACCTCAGCCTGGGCAGACAAGAAACCAGCCTCCTGGCACCCTATGTGTGAGAAGCCAACTGCTCGGAAGCCACACAAAGGCTTTCTGCATTACATGGAAGGAAGGTCAAGTTGGATCACGACCAGGGGGCCTTCCTACCCTGGGACTGTGATGTTGGGCACTTGCATTCAGGGCAGGGGCTCACCCCTCTTCTGTCTTCAAGTACACCCACTTGTGGGCATCTCCTGGGCCGGAAGACTCCAGAGACTGACTGTGCATCAGAGCCCAGGGGGAGCAGGATCCCTGGGGTACCACTTTCTCAAAGAGGTTGACCTGACCACCACCAGCACCACCAGTCCCTCCAGTCACCCTTACCTTGTGTTCTTATTTACTTATTTATTACCCCATTGTTTACTACTTGCCTCTGTCTCCTAGCCTGGAAGCCCCACAAGGACAATGAGTTCTGATGTGTCTCCAGCCCCGGTCTCTGGCACAGACTGGACACTCGGCAAATATTTACTGAATGGATGGATGGACGAGGTCCCAATGAGTCCCGGCTCTGCAGCTTTCCAGCTGTGGGATTTGGAGCAAATTAAGTGATCTTCTTGGACCTCAGCTTTCTCGTCCATAAAATGGAATGGCCACACTCGTGTGAAGGGTGGGGGGTGTTGGGGGGCTGGTGTAAGCACCCATGCAGCGCCAGACCCCTGAGAGGCATCTAGTCAGTGCTGGTGACATCAAAGGCAGCTCGATTCACTCGCCCATGAGGTCCATCAGGCCACAAACACGTGGCTGGGTCAGGCTTCTTAGAAGAAGTGAGAGTCAGCCTTTTCTGGAAGGATGAGGAACATGGTGAGAGGAACTGGTGGGAGGGGTGAGCAAGGGGAACGGAGGAAGCACAGGGTGGAGTGGGGTGGCAGGAGCGGGGAGGCGCCCCGCAGAGGGGGTGCTCTGCAGACCCACGGGAAGCAGCAGGCTTGGCCCATCCCCGCGTCGGGGCTGCCAGGCTAAGGCATGTGGCCCTTCCTTCCAGAGGGAAGGCGAGCCTGAAGGGGGCTCGCCGGGTCTGGCACAGGGGTGGTTGCTGGGCAGACTGTCTTTTCAGCAAACACTGACCGTTTCCCATGACATGCACTGGCCTGGGCACTGCGGGCACAGGGACACCCAGTCTGCAGCCACAGGGACACTTACAACACACAAGTTTGTCTGGGTGACCCTCCAATTAAACTCCTGCTAAAGGGCCCCCAGTCCTTCAGTTAAAGGCCAGCATTCTCCCTGTGACCCATGAAGCAGCACCCTACCTCTCCAGCCTCACTGCCCACTTCCTCCTGCCTTATTTTGTTTTTTTTTTGTCATATTAACCTCATTTTAGCTCCCTGTCCATGCCACCTTCCTACCCCCGGGCCTTTGCACATACTGTTCCCTCCACTTGGTATAGTTTCGCTCTTCTCCCCATCCCAGCTTCCTCCCCCTTTTTCCCATATAGAATTTACTTCTGTAGTGGAGAATGAAAATATGGCTGTGAAGGTAGGAAATCATGTAGACAAATGTTTTAGAAGTGTGACAGTCATTTTAGAATAAAGTTAGTTAAAAGGAAGATGAATAAAGCACTAGAGATTAAGCTTAATTTCTACTGGAAAGACCACCAGTGTTTTATATATTATTAACTACACAAGGAAATACACACTCATGCAGTTTTAATTAATAACTACAATTAAAAAACAGATATACTCCCAGCATTCAGAGCTTTTTGCAGTTGTCTTGTCACCAGGGAAGCCTTGCTGGAGCCCCCAGCTTGGGTCAGACCCCCCTGTTATACACTCTCAAAGCACTCGTAGCTGCCTTTCATCGTGTTCACTGGAGCTTGCGATCATAAATTTATGTGCATTGTTATTCAATTCGTGGCTCTTTCTCCCCCTGGATATTAACTCCATTAAGGCAAGGGGCAGGTCTGTTTGTACTAGCCCAGAGGTTGCTGCCCCATAAGTCATTGTTTAATACAAAATTGATTGCAGGGAAAATTTAGACCCAGGAGTCATCACAATGCATGGAGATGAGTGCTTTATTAAAGGGCTGCTAGGAAAGATGTTGGAAAGGAAGAGAACATTTCATAAAGAGGTCATAATGGACTGGGCACTGAAGGATGAGTAGGAGCTTGTTAGGCAGGAGACGAGCACACCTGGTAGCAAGGATAGCACCTTTTAACAAATGAGAGGGCACTGAGGCTCAGAGGCTTTAAATGACATGCCCAAGTCATCCAGCTACTAAGTGGTTTACCCGCTTGTCCCATGTTACCAGTGGCATATGTTGTGGATCTGAGCTGCCTCCTGAGGGTTCCTGTGTTCATCTGGTTGCCCTCCCACCCCCAAGGCTGGTGCCACGGAAGTGGTGATGGTCTGCAAAGTGCTCTACAGGGGTTCCCAGTTTTCTGCTCCCATATCTGTGTCCTTGGTGCAGGATATCAATCTTCTTGCCCTCCTCCACCCTCAAAGACGGGTTACTCACTCTGGTGCTCCCCGATCTTAGCACTTAGCATCCTCTACCAGCCTTAACCCTCTCCAGGCTGCCTTCCCCACCAGCCAGTGTGGGGGTGGGGTCTCCAGGGCCCTGAGGGTGCCTAGGATGGAGGAGGTGGAGAAGGAAGCACTTACTGAATACACACCTGCTAAAGTGGACAGGGCAGCTCTCTTACCTTGGAGTGGAGCTGAGGAGTGACTAGCGGGCCCCCAGGTCTATGTGGAATGCCTCCCTTCCTGCCCCAAACCAGATGCTACCGCTGTGTGCTGACTGTGGCTAACCACGAGGACACAGGGGAGTCACTTCACCTCTCTGAGCCTCACTTTCCACATCTGTCATATGAACGTCCATTCTGGCTGCCCATGGGGCTGCTGTGACCAGAACACAAAAGGCACACAGAGCTGTGAGTTGCTAGGCACGTCCAGGGGATGGCAGTTGGCGCCAGCTCGGGCTTCTTAGGGCCAAGCCACTGAAGATCCCCTCCTCCCAAAACACCTTACCCATTAGCACAGGCAATTCACAGCAGGAGGCAAAGGAATCAAGGTACTTAAAGAAGCCCCACACGTGTAATCTTAGCCCTGTGAACACTGGTGCCCCCTGGTGGTCACAGGCAGACCCTGCAGGGCCATGCTTTCTGGGCCAGGCTCAGAGACCCCATTCACTCTTCAACCAAGTTGCTGACGGTTCAAATGCCAGGCTCTTCATTTTGTGCCCAAAATAGTGACTCTGGAGGCAGAAAACCTAGCATTGAGTCCTGGTGCCCGCTATTCTAGGTTGCATCCGTCTAACGCTGGACTAGCCCACTTCCGTTTTGCCATCCGCCTTGATGCTTAGCTGAGCTCAGAGCTCCCACGTGGACGCTGGAGGGTAGGTATCTGTGTAACTTACCTGCCAAAGACCCAAGGCCAAGGCTAGTTTCCTCAGAGCCCCGGTGTGGGGGAGCATCACTCATGTCCTGACTCTCCCCAGTGTGTGGTATTCATGTCCTGAATCTTTGTCTATTTCTATAGGGAACTAGAGTCCTAGAGAGGGTATGGCTTTCCCAAACACTTGGTTTCTAAGATTTGAACCCAAGTCTCTCCCACTAGGAGCCCCAGGTACTCTCCTTGGCTCACAGCTTTCCCAAATTATCCACTGACAGTCAGCAGACCTTGTGGGTGTTGTTTATTAAATCACAAAGCCCTTCTGCCTGCCAGGGGGAGAAATCACCATCAAGTGGGTAGGGGTGGGGAGTCTGACATCTGAGTGGGCAGAGAGGGGGCCAAGGGAGAAGAATGGTGCACAGAAGCCCTGAGAGCCGGTGGTGCTGCCTGCTTGGACAGTGGTTTGGGAGCTTATGATTAAGGGAGATTAGATGAGAAAGTCCCTGTGGTCTCAAACCCAGGGAGACAAAACATATTCCACCCCAGGCCCTGGTGGAGGTCTGCAGCAAGCCAGATGTCTCCTTATTTCCCAGAAGGATTCGCAATCTTTGCTAAGAAGAGCAGGTTATTCAACCTCTCGAGAATCAGCAGCAGAAAGCTTCTGTTCATCTTGACCCTTAACGGTGCCTCCATGGGCAGGGTCTGCGCTCCGGAGCCCGCTGCCCCCTCCGTGCCCTTCTCGTCCATCTTCAGGGTAGCCTGGTGCATCGCCTGCAGGAAACGGGAGTGAAGTCAGCGCTTTCAAAGCCACTCAGAGGCCCTGGGTGACCGAAGGCTGGCAAAAGGCCCAGAGAGGGCGAGGCCTCAGTCAGAGTCCCCCAGCACAGCAGTAACTTGGCTGGTGCCAGCCTCCCGAGGGCTCCTGGCTTTTCTTCTGTCATCACTGAAGGATACTCAACAAGCAGATGCAGTTGAAGGAAAAATGATGCAGGGGGGACATCAGCTACGGGGTAGGGGGGCCTACGGGTAGGAGATGGAGTGGTTTTCTCTGTTTTCCGTGACTGACAGGGAAGCATCAATGGTAACAATGTTGTGCCTTAGCTAAATGGAAGGGAGGTGGTGGCATCACTGGCTCAAAGCCTCCAGCCTGCTCCACGCTCCTTTCATCCGCCATTTCATGGTGGAATGCCGAGAGGGGGACAGATTCCAGGGTAGCTGCTGGAGATGACGCAGACCCAGATCCACTCGAATGGCATCAACATCTGACTGCATGATTGTCACGGGGAAATTGATGGGCTTCTGTGAAATACCAATACATTTCATTCCATTCTAAGAATGCTAACAATTTGACTAGCAAGCCAATAGCCATTGTTTACATACAGGATCACAGCTATCAGCACGCGTAACTGTGGGAAAGAAACGGGCCACTGAACTCAGTAAAGGCCTCTGGGAAAGGGGTACCTGGTATTGAAGGTTTATGCGAAGTCTGTGGCAGGAAAACTTAAAAGCAATAAAATTCTATTAACTGTCTTTCTTCCTCTTGGAAACTGGAAAACAAATCTGAATGCATGCCTACTGTCAGCTCAGCTTGGCAAGTCGGATCGCTCCACACAGTCCCAGCCAATCCCCACCGCCCAGGACTCCTGTGCTCTTCCACCTCCCAGTTTTAGGTCATGCTGCCCCCTACTGGAAGGTCTCCCCTGTACCCACCACTGCTTGTTGAAATCTTCCCTGACTTTATGCCTTTTGAACCTAAAAGTAGAGTTGCCAGATAAAAGACAAGATGTCCTGTTAAATTTGAATTTCAGATAAATAATGAAAATTTTTTTAGCATAAGTATATCCCATGCAATATTTGGGATATACTTAAACTAAAACATTTCATTTATTACTTCTCTGATATTTGAATTTAACTCTCATCCTGTGTTCTGTCTGCTAAATCTGGGCACTCTACCCCATGTGGTCCTCTCTGCTGGCTGCCAAAAGGCAGGGGCTCAGCCTTGCTGGAGACCATGGGTCCCTTGCTTGCTTATTTCTAGGCCACATGGACCATGTTCACAACTTACTCCTCACAAGCTTCTGAGGCCTCAGAGAGAGGGTCTGGGCCAGTGCGAGGCATCATGAATGTTCCAGGCTTCAACCAATTGCTTATTGCATTGAACTGACCTCCAAAATAGGACCAGAAGACTCGACTGATATTTCCCACTTTAAAGACTAGAAACATGAGGAAAGGTTCCATAATTTGCCCAGGATCCGAGCCTGGCCTGATGAGTGGGTGGATCTTGGCTCATACAGCTGCTGGGACGGTGGCTTTGGCCTGGGGCTGCGGGCAGGCTCCTGTGCCGGCAAGGGCAGCGTCCAGGCCAGGCAGGCTTACCTCGCTCACTTTCAGATTTTCATAGGGGGAGATCCTGGTGAGATCGCCGCGTTCCTCAAAGATTTTAGTGACACCCAGGTAGGAGAGCATCTTCTTCAGGTCGTAGCTGCCCGTGATGGACAACCTGGGCACGAACACATCCACCACCCTAGGGAGTCGAAAGTGACGAAGATGACAGAGGGCCCTGCCAGCTTCCCAGCAGGGCTGGGGATCAACGGTGAGAGAGGCCTCTGTCCTCCCAGCCCCTGAGATCTCAGAATTTCTCTCTATACATGGAATGAGGAGAGGCCTGGAGGACTGGGATCCAGTTTTGAAGCGCCCATGCTCTCTGCACTACGTCCCTACTTCCTGTCACAATTTGCCTGAGCATCACCCACAGAAAAGCCCTCAAGTCCCTGCCATCTCAGGACCCCTTCAGCACAGCCATCGAGGGTCTCCCCACCGTAGCGTCAGCCATGCCTGTGCCCTGAGCCAGTCCCAACCCCAGCCATTTGGTGCTAAAGACAGCAGCACCCCGAGATCAGAAGCCAGCAGTGCTGAGTTCAGATCCACTCTGCCTTCCCTGAGCTCTGTGACCTGGCGCCCATGATCTCACCTCTCTGAGCCACTCGTGCGAAAACGATGACACCCGCGGGACCAGAGGAGGGCTAAAGCGGATGCACGTGGCCCTGCTCAGCAGAGTCAGCGATCAGCAAGAGTTCATCTTCTTGGCCGTGAATGAGCAGCTTTACATCCTCTTTGGGTGGGACCCAGGTTGGCTCCCTGCCTGGGGTCTGGGATCAGCTGTCCTGAGGCACGTGTGGGCCCTGGATTCCTTTCCACCCGTCCAAAGACCCCATTTCTTCCTGTCTCTCTAAGGATCTCATTCCTGCCTTTCCCTCCTGCACCATCTATGTTGCACCCTGATGCCTCCTGGGTCACCCTCAGGTGGACTTTATCTAAAGCATCCAGAACTAGAATTTCTCTCCCATAAGCTTTCAACCAAAGTGATACATCTAATTTCATTCTGTAATTCCTTCAAGTGTGTGTTTCCCTATGAAAGAAACTGCCTTGGCTCAGTTACCACCCTTGGGTATCCCAGCTCAGTTCTAGCACCCTCGCTGCCTCTTAGAACCCTCCTCAGCTCCTGACAGCATGCTGGCAATGGCAGAGCTTCTCAATAAAGACCCTTTGGGTAGAGAATGATGGTGGGGGCAAAGTGGAAAGGAGAGGGCAGGGACCAAGGAGGAAGACATCCTGACATCGCTTCTCCCCAAGTGGAAGCTGCCCTGTCTACCGCATAGACCCACCCCTCCTGGCTGCCAGAGGCCCTGCCCTAGCCCTTCAGCTTTCAAGGCACTGTGCACATCTGCACTGACACCAAGTTCCCAGGACGTGACTGCCGCTAGTTCTCACCTTTCCCAAGAAAAGCTGTCAGTAGGCAAATGCCTGGGAAGGATGCTGGAGGCTTCCCTGAAATCTGTTCTAATTTTATGTTTTGAAAGGAAACTCTTTACTCACTTTCGTCCTACGGCTATGATTAGTATAACTTCATTGGTGCACACGTCACAGGTTTTATTATGACACCACTGTCGAAAACATTCTAGGTACAATGAAAAACTCGCAGCTCCCATTGACATTCCAAGTGTTTGTCCTCACAGCTTCCTTCTGTCTAGGCTCCTGTCACTCCTCTCCCTTCCATGGGTACCACTACACAGTCTCGAAGACTTAGCCCAAACTCCATGTGCTCCATGAAGCCCTTCCTGACCACCACCGCCCACCAAGTTTCTCTCCATCCTCGGCACTCTCACAATGTTTAAGCATCTTCCTCTGAAAGCAAAGGCTTCACTATATTTCTATGATTTGTTTTCCAAGTCTACTTCCTACCAAAATAGAAGTTCATCATGGAGCCCAGAATAGGACTTGGCCATGGGGTCAGAGCTCCATAAATCTGGGATAGAAGAAGCAAAGACAGTGTGAGGGAAGAGAGGAAGAAGGAAGATGATGTACTCATCAGGCACCCTCTTTACCTTGGAGAGAGTAATTTTTTCCATCTGAAAAAAGTGTCCAACCCCAAGGCTTCCTCCACTTGCTTCATTTTGCCCTCATCAGGAAGAACGAAGATGGCTGTGATGTTGCCCTGGTAGGGCATTTCCAGGACAGTGCAGGAGAGCTGGTCATCGTGGCCAGCCTCATACATGCCCCCGTGGAACATCATGGGCACCTTCACTGCCTTGTTTCTGTCCAGAATGAAGTCTTCCTCTTTAGTTGATTTCGGATCAAACTCATGTTGCCACCTGGCTTAAGATTGAAGAAGGAAAAAGTGAGATGAGTGTCCTGAGGGTGAAGAGGTTACTGAATCCAATTAACCACTGAGTCTCTGTCCACATGGATTTAAGGAAAGGGTCTAGACGCTCTGCAATATCAGAGCAGGGTCGCAGAAATCCTTGCCCTCATGCCGTGCCCTGGAGACTTCTGGTAAAGTGGGCTTGGCCCTGATGATGATCAGTTCCCAAAGGTGCCAGGATCAGGGCTGCTGAGCTGGGAGGGGAGCCTCAGACTCCCCTAAGCCCAGGTGCTCCTGAGACTGAGAAAGGCCATGGATTCTGTTACAGAAGCAGGAACTGGATTGCATCTGGTGGGGGCTGTCTGGGTCTGATGTGGGTGAAAGTACTCAAGTCTATTCTAAATCAGCCCTGGAGGGGTCATTCTTATGTGAGACTAAGGAATCTAATATAACAGGCTGCCCTTGGGAGCCTGCTGAAGGGCAGTGAGCTCCCAAAGCTGGGCATCTGGACCTCTTCTCTCTGACCCTGAGGACTCTGACAACACTGGCCATGAACTCTGACCCTCATACTCACTATCTCCAGAGCCCTCAGTATAAGACCCTTAGGGCCGAGTCCCTGAGTTCAAATTGTGGCTTTATTGCTCTAGAAGGATGACCTTGGACAAGTGTCTCAACCTCCCCAGGCTTCAGTGGCCTTATCTACAGAGTGGAGATTTTCACGGGAACCTCATAGGCTGCTGTGAGGTTTAGTGGGGAAATGCGGCGGAGCTCAGTGACGGTGTGCACTGAGTGCTGAGTGGATGCTCATCATCGTCAGCATCATTGTCTCTGTTGTTTTTGATGTAATCTAAGGATGTAGGGGCTTAGGGAAATTTCAGATTCTCCTTTCTTCCCTGCTTTGGGAGATTGAGATTTCAGTCTACCATAATCACTTCTTTTTTTTTTTTTTTTCCTATAGCCATTGATCTCCTTGTGGATTTTGGGAGAGCTGAACTGCCATATTTAGGACTGTGCTGCTGATAGCCCAACATTGATCTTGCCTGGCCTGAGGGATGTTGGCCTCTATTCTCACCTATGTTGGCCAACCTGTGTGTGTGTGTGTGTGTGTGGTGCGAGTGGGTGTGTATGGTAATGGTAGATGAAGCTTGGATTTGGGAATATTATTTTTCACCATCAGACTTGGAGAATCTACAACATGTGGTTAGGAGACCAGGGCACCTACCAATGAAATCATGATCACCATCATCAATGCCATCACCACTGTGGGTGTCTACTTGAATGATGGAGAGTGCACAGTTCCAGGTCAAGAGAAGTGGATTCTAGTCTTGACTTTCATTGGCTGGCTTTGTAACTTTGAGTAAGTCAATTAATCTCTCTCTGAATTTCACTTTCCTCATCCAAGAAATGCAGAAAAGAGTATCACTCCAAACTCTACAACTAACGTTGTGTTAGGATAATCAGTAATAATAAAAATGTACATATGGGGAATATATTTCAAAAAATTCATTTTGCATACATTTTCACTTTGAGTCCCAATAACCACCCTATGAGTTATATATCAAGGTACTCGTTTTTCAGGTAAGAAAAGTAGGGTTCTAAAAGACTAATTGCATGTGAATCAAAGGTCACAGAGCAAGCAGGTGGACAACCCAAGTTTTTAACTCAAGTCTACTGGTCATCCTACCCTTTTCAAGCTTTCATGCCCCAAGCCTTACCTCGAAAGAAAACATAATTTATAAGAATCATCACAGTGCCAGGGTCTATATTCTTGACCAAGTCATTGATTTTCCTGTGGGTTTTCTGACTGACGTAGTCATTGATTCGATTCTGAGCATCTTCCAAATTCTGAAAGTTGGTGGGGACAGTGTCTGCCTCATACAGGTTCTTGACATCTGTCAGAAACTTCTTCGATGGCTTTAGCTTCTGGTCAATGAACAAGGCATTCCCGACGCCCAGCTTACGGTCCTGGTTCTCCTGGTTCAGCCTCTGGATAAGGTAATGGAAGCCTTCATGAAGGTCTTTCTCTGGCATATTCTGGAAGTTGAAGCCCTGTTTGATCTCGGCCAGGGTGGAGTCTTGGGCACCAATGGACAGCATGGAGAAGGCCATAGCGATGCTCCAGGGAGAGAAGAAGATGTTCTTGTCAGGGCTGTTGGAAGACAGCTTCTTGTATAGCTTGAAGCCAAAGTCTGCATTTCGCTTTGCTATCTCCTGAGCTGCCCTTCTTCCTTCCATGCTTGGTCCTGGCTCACAGCTTCATAATTCTTGGGAGAGAAGCTGGGCTTCAGAACACCTTCCACGGTGAGGAGGCCAGCCAGAAGCAGGCCTAGGCCCAGCGTGGGGTTCATTTTCCTTGGAGATTGTCCTGTTGAGTAGTGGACCTGAGGTTAGCAGAAACGATAACGAAAGAATCCCATTGCCCCTATCTTGCCCACAGGGAACACCAGATAGAGAAAGTGATACAGTGACCAGCATGTGTTGTGCATAGCAGTTTATAAGGGCTTTGACATCCATTGTAACATTTAACCCTTGCCATCACCTTGGGGACTAAAAGTGACTGCACACATGAGAAATCAGAGTGTAGAAGATTGCTCTTGTTTTTGTATCCATCTCCCCCTTCTTATAGTAACAGTATCTCAGATCCTTTGAGAAACTGCTCCCTCCACTCCATTGGATCACAAAAAAAGGATACCCCCCAGTGTGGGCATGTGATCCAGGCTAGGCCATCATCATAATCAGTTCCCCTTCCACACTGATTGGTTAAGGAACGAGAGATCATCAGATGCATCAGCGCTTGTCTTTGAGAATGCAAAGCCCTCTGAACTCTGGTGACTGGCTTAATGGTAAAACGTTGAACCTGAATGTGGACATAACATCCATATAGAGAAAGAGAGATAAGGGAGAGGAATGGAAAGAAAGAAATGAGAAGACATATTTGGTGATATCTTTGGAGTCCCTGGATTGAGCTTTACCTGAAGCCCATCCACTTCCACTTTTCAAAGTTATAAGAGCCAATAAAGATCCCTTTTAGGGCTGGCTGGTTTGAGTTGGATTTTTTCCTTACAACCAAGAATTCTGGTTTGCAGAAATAAAATCCTTTGTCTAAGATCACATGGTAAGTGGTAGATACCCACCCCAGGAGAACCCAGGTCTCTAGTAAACTTCCTTCCCTAGACTTCTTCCAGGAAAGCAAAGGGGGTGGTGTCATGGAGAGAAAAAGCCAAATCTGCTTGGCTCCAGGACAGCTCCTTGTTTCACTACCTCTCAGCTTTGACATCTCCCAATAAGACTGTGAGGTTTGGAGGAGACAGAAATTTTATTTTCGGTTTTCCTTTCATCTTTAGACTTTATGCAGCAGAGAGCTGCCAAAAGTGTAGTATTCCAAAAAGCTTGTTCATTTCTGTAGCTGCACATGCTACTGTTGATGACTTTTTAGACCAGTTTTTATGTTAAATAAGGCTGATTTCTTTACTTGGTCCTCTGCTGTCACTTCCTGCCTTTCCCTCTGTAGTTCACATCCCTGCGCACCCGTCACCTGTGGGAGATGGAGAGCTCCTCAGCGGGAAAGGCTGTTCCTGGTTGACTTGGGTTGGGTTTCCGAGAAGCAGAGCCTGAGACGAGGGTTCAGATGTTCGTTGTGTGTTGAGGGTGTGGCCCCTCGGGAAGTGAGGGAAGCGGGGCAGGAGAGGGAAGGAGCCCAGCCAGGATGCAGTCCCAGATAACATCTAGTCTTGACCTGGAGACTCCCCTGGCAGCACTGGCCTGAGGCCAAGGGACTGGCCTTCAGCCCTCTGAATCAGTCAGTCAGTTGGTGATCTGCCCCCAGGATGCATGGCCTGGGGTACAACTTCCTGGGTCATTTAGCTCCTATCAGCCAAGGGCAGTTTTCCGGAGAGGGGAGGACAGCTGTGAGCTGGTAACAGCTCAGCCTCACAGCACCACTGGCCTCGGGGACCTGGGCCCAGCAGAACACGGTCCACCGCAGCTAAATCTCTATGCCTGCACTGTGTAGGCTTTTTCCGGTTGATGGAAGGAGAGGACAGATGGACAGCAGCACAGGGCTTGCGCCTAGGAGCACCCCGATCTCCATGTTCTTCACACCCCTAAACCCTCTATGCCAGGTGCTGTGGATACAGACGGCATCACAGTGGACACGAGTCTGCAGGGAGCCTGGGGCCCAGTGTTTGGGAGTTCTGTAGACACTGCCATTGCTTCCCACATCCCCTTCCATCTTCCTAACAAAACTTCACTGTTTTTTGGGGGTGGCTGTGGACCATTCCCTTAGGCAGCCCAAGTGCTTCAGGGACAGGGACCCCATCCCCAGCTCTAAGAGGGGCTCTGATTGGGTCAGGATTGAAACAACAGACCCCTGTGGGGTCCCCCCTGCTACAAATCCTTTCTGTGTCCCTGTTTCCTGTTTGTAGAAAATAGACTTCATTCTTGACCTTCCCTGAGTTCCAAAGGGCAGATTCAAATAGTTGCTAATCAGGGAAGGGAGGGAATGCAGAAAGAAAGGAGGAACAGTCAAGAAACAATAGCGTAATCTTGGGGCAGGTCCTGGTTCCTCCTCAAGGAATAGACGCAACAAACCTCTGAGTTCTTCTGTGGGAACCAAGGCCCCCTCCCAAGTGGAGGACGGCAACTTCCTGCTGAGCACAGGATTCTGGGACCCCGCCCTGTTACCTCACCACCAGCCAATCAGAAGAAAGTCCACACCCTGCAGTCCTCCCCCCAGATCTTGCCTATAAATACTTTCCCTAAAAACCATCAGGGAGTTTGGGTTTTCTGAGCACAAGCTGTCCATCCTCCTTGCTTGGCCCCGCAATAATCCAAACTCTGATGTTTCGGTCTGTTTGACCTCACTGTGCGTCAGGCACGCAAACTTCCGTTCAGTGACACCACGAGGGGAGTGACACCAGGATGAAAACCGAACACAGAGATGCATGCGAGGGCTTTGCAGAGACACTGGTGCTGGGGCCACAGAGTAAGCTCCCTTGGAGCCCATCCTGCCCCAAGACTTCCAGTGATGCTAGTGTGAGTTACGTGGTCAGTTACTTTGAGACAAAAGTGTCCTAACAAATGTAAGTTTTTGTTTTGTTTGTCTGTTTGTTTTTTTAATGTTGGGGCTACCAGGCAGACAGGAGTCCTGGCCCTGATCTCACACTTCCTGGCTGTGTGACACTGAGGAAGGAGCTTTCCCTCTCTGAGCCTAAGTGATCTCTGAGTACCTTTCATTCCTAATAACACAGTTTTTAGTAAAAATTAAAAACAGCTGGTGATGAGCAAAGGCTCGTGGGGCTGTCTTCCAATAGATTTTTGAAGAGAAGATCAGTAAAATCCCTGAGGTTGTTTCAGATAAAAGAAAGAAAATAGAAAAGGGAAAGGATTCAATCTCTCAGGTTAGAGCGCTGGACCATGCAAAGCCTGCCTGGATTAAAAATAGAAGCTTCTCCTTTCCAGAGCAGCTGGCCGCCTTTGTGTGCACTAGTTCCCCAGGCCTGAGAGCGCAGAAGTTAGGCCATGGCTGTCAGGGAGCTTGAGAACATCCTTGGCAGCAGGGTGGCCAGCCAGGAGAGATGCGAAGCAGTAAAGCAGCTTGCCCCAGGAGCCACGTGTGTGTTGGGACAGGTCAGGGCCAGAATCCAGAGCAGGGAAGGTGAGGCAGGAGGGAAGGGGGCAGGGCACAACCTTTAAAAGAATGACACAGCGATTTGCACCAAGATGGCGGAAGATTCAACCCCCAGGAGACCTTGACTTTCGATATATGCCCATTGCAGTACAACAGCTGCCAAATGGCACGCCCACAGGGGCCAGGACAGTTTCAAGGCTGATCATGAAAGGTCAAAAAGTGGGTGATGGCCCAGTTCCTGGGATTCCCAGCACCTTCCTCAAAGAAGTTGGAATAATCGTCCCACTTGTTAGCGTATGAAGTTACCCAGCCCGTAAAGGCTAAGCCCCTCCTCCAGGGGTTCACGCTCTCAATCTCTCTCTCCCTCCCCCACCCCTCTCTTTTCTCTTGCCTTTTGAGATGGCCCGCACTCCGTCCATGGTGTATGTATCTAATTTTGCTTTAAACACCCACCCCCACGTCTCGTGGCCTCTCTGGCCTCCGAGACAGCCTGCACTCTGTCTATGGAGTGTGCATCTCTCTGAATACATCTACCTTCACTCTACCATGGCTAGCTCTTGAATTCTTTCCTGTGCAAAGCCAAGGATGCTTGCTTGATGGGGCACATCCCAGGGACTTGCCATCCTCTCTCGCCCCATTTTTCCTCTATCAAAGGGAAACTACTGGCAGCTGTATTCCAGAAACACTTTCTGGCACAGATGGCCCACATATATAGTTCTACAGTGATGCCCAGTCAGTGACATCGAGAAGGTGTTCCCTATTTCACCGAGTTTCAGGCAGAGGAACTGATCATGGAGTTAAACGTCTGGATCTCGGTCTTCTCCTGCTCATGTGTTTGGTGTTTAAGAATAAGCCTCTTTATTCTTCAGCCTCAGTATCTTCATCTATTAAATGGTGGAGTAGTACCTGTCTTCCTCCCCACTGGATGCTGCTAACCAGTTCACCGCCCCCAGCCCCTAGGACACAGCCCCCGCCAGGCCTCAGCTGCACCCCCATCTCTAAGTCTGTGTCATAGCGGTTTCCCCGGGCCTCCTGCCCAGGCCCACTGATTGTCCACAGCCTGGCCTTCCTCCCCTCCAAACAGTCCACACTGGCTCCATTTCTGGGCCTTTCCATCTGTCAACACAGGCCCTAAACTGACCCAAACTTGTCAGATGGGTACCCGTCCTAGATGCCTGAGTAAGCTAATGTTTTAATCCTGTCAATTAAAATGCCCAAGGGACTGGTTGTTTCCCAATAAACTGATAACATTGCCCAAGCTGAGCGATTCTTGTTTCATTTTTATTTGGGAGTGTGTGTGTTTGGTTGTCCCTCGAAATACAGTAAGGAAATAAAAATAAAGAAGGAGAGGAACAGGATAGAAACTGAACTCTGTGGAGAAGATATGGGGCAGATAAAGCTGTAATCAAGATTTCAGCTCTTGCGGCGGTGGGGGGCGGTACAACTCAGCAGCAGGGAATGTGCTTAGCATGCGTGACGTTCTGGGTTCAGTCTCCAGTACCTCCTCTAAAGCTAATAAACAAATAAATAAGCCTAATTACCTCTCCCCTATAAATTAATTAAAAAGGAAGAAAAAGAGATTTCAACCCTTCTCTGACTATCCTGGTCCCACCTTCTCGAGTAATTTCAGAGAATAATTCTCTTCTCTTATGAGTAGATGAACTAGCATGGCCCTGACTCAGGAATCATTTATCTTAAAGAAAGATGCAAAGCAGGTATATTCCAGGTGTAAACCAGAGCCCTTTGGAAAAGTGGTTCGGGTATCTTGGGTCTACCCACGGAGGGGTTACCCATGGGAGGCCTCCCAGGCGGGGTGCCCAGCACTGCTTTTACCTCCCACATCGCCCAGTCAAAGGCGCCGAGGGGTGGAGACAGCAGATATGATGGCACTTTTGACAATAATAATATCTAATTATACAAGTTGCTCTCATCCTTGTTGTCACCAGTAATTTGAGGAAACAAGACGCCAACAAACAGAAGCCACATCAGGACACAGAAGAGCTACTCAGTGCTTAGCAGTTTGGAACCATTGACTCACAGGGAAGAGACCTCCTTCCACCCTCCCCAGGTCACCTCTCTCCCAACTATCTGCTATCCTGTCTCCCTTCCATGTGATGAAACTGGCTGGCGAGGGAAAGTTTTCCATCCTCAAGCCAATGAGATGAAAAGATTTAGGATGCTTTGGATGAATTTCCATCCCTAATCGCTTGAGCCCCCAGGAGTGAGCATGCACCAGCTCACTGAGGGGCTTCCGCTGGCCCAGGCTGAACACAGCGGTCCTCCCTGCCCTAAAGAACCCCAGGCCCTTTGAGACCCCAGCTTTCCTCTAAGCCTTTCCGGAGTTCTCCACAGAGTGCACTATACTTAGATAAACTCAGCACCCTCCCTAGGGCTGAGAGACCTGAGGGACCCTTCCTAAAGATGGGCCTTGGCATCCCAGAGGACCAGCACACAATCCCCTCAGCCGAGGAGATGTCCCACGCATGATTTGTGGTCCACCTGCTTTAAGGGATTGATGTTGTCTTAAAAGGAGATCACTCTAGACGTATTAGAAGTTATTATTTTTCAAAGCAAGTTTAGAGCCAAGTGGTGGTGAGACACATCTTCTTTCCCCCTGTTGGAAGTGAGGGAAGGCTCGTGAAAGAAATCTAGTGACTCTGGCAATAGACTAATTTATCCTCCTCATGGGAAGCAAAGAGGATGGAACATGAGTCCATCATCTCACCTCTAAATTTGTCCTGGAGATTTCTGCCTTCATTCTCTTAAGAAATATTTTGGGCCTTCGCTATGTACCAGGCATTGGGTTGCTGGACCAATATCCAAGAAATGGTCCCTGCTGATGCTGCTGACTGACCCACAGCCTCCTTGGGAAGCCAAGCATGGAGCTCTCTCTTCTAAGAGGTGATACCCACAGCCAGCCCTGCAGACTTCTTCAAATCCTCTGGACTTCCCAGCTCTTTGCCGGGCCTGCTCCTCCTGCCTTTGGTGACGTCATTCTAGGATGAGGGACTACGAGGGTTGGAAAGGTTGAGTTACCATCAGCCTTGGGCCACTTGTGCTGTAAAGGGGAACCTGAGTCCCAGAGCAGACTAAGGAGCTATCCAAGGTCACACTGGGTGTTTGCTGGGTTAGAGCGGGAATCCAATCTGTTAAGCCAATTCTGCAAAAATACATGAAGAGGGCTGCTTGAACTCACCTTCTCCATGACATAGGACACTGATGGATACAGCCTCTGTCCCCAGGGAGAAAGAGGAAGATACACAGGCAGCTCACAGACAAGGCTAACCATGACCAGAACTACAGGGCAGAGACGGACCCGATTTGGAGGGGCCCCCTTATTCCCCTAGGCAACTCCCATTCCCACACCCATTAAGGCTTTTCCTCCAGAAAAGCACAGGAGACAAACATCCCTGAAAACGATCAAGAGGGCTTCCCCAGATTTGGGACTTCTCCAGAATTTTCTTCAAGACACCCACCCAGGGGCTGTACTGTATCCTCCCGTGATCTGAAGCAGACTTGGTGTGGAACACACAGGAGGCGCCTGACCTTTCCAAGGGGGAGATATCATACTCACAGCACATTCAGAAGTCCACGGAGCCAGCCAACGGATGCGATTTCCTTGCTTTATTATTTATACTTCCATGGCCTCTTGGAAAAGTAGACTGGAGACCAATAAAATTAGCTGGCCTGATTGGGCAGGTGTTGGAGGCTCCAGGAGCCACGGCCACACCACTTCCTCCGGGGCTTCTCCTCACCCCTGGAGGCAGCTGCCTGATATTAAGACCACACCCACTGGGGTGTGGCTTCCCTAATGAAATCCTTTCACATCTTTTGCAATGACTATATTTCCCAATTGCTCTGCCTCTGGAACCTGGAGAATTCTTACCGGCAGATCAGCCTATAGTCTTGATGTTAAATACTCAACTCAAACATCATGACTGTCATCAGTGGGAAGAGGCTGGCAAAGAGAGGTCAATCCCTTTAGCCCCCATTCTTTCTCTTGCTCTTTCTCAAGCACTTTACAGTTGTCAGTTCTATCGCCTTAGCTCCATGGAGTCTTTTGGGAGAAAAGAACTCAGAGGGATGAATAGACAATTAAATACATAGTTTCTGTTGGGGGAAGGGTAGTAGTAATCAAAGATTCACATCAAAGTTTGGGATCATTCAAGGAACTTATGAATTATTTTCTGATTGCATCTTTGTCGTGCTGGAGGAATGAGTCATTGGTTGGTTTTCTCCCCCCAACCCTTTCTTTTCTGTCTTTTCAAGTTGTCTTCAAGGAACAGGTATTACTTTAGAATTAATTTTTAGAAGATTGGAAATAAAACGGAATTCATATCTTCAGGTTTATCAGAGAGGAAGCCATGATGACATTTGAGAACCTTTCAGACCCACAGATCCTGGGATGAAAGAGCAATGAGTCCAGTGGACCTGTTTTCCATTCTGCTTTCACTACTGGTTGCTAATGAACAGGAAAACCATTCAAATATTCCTTCCCTATTTGGAGATGTTTCATGTAATAGATATTGTCTGACCACAGCACCAAGGGCTGTAGACAGTGTTTTTCTTCCTTTAGGATGCTGTGTTTAGCAGACAATTCTCGTCCCCAGTGCTGTAAGGAGCAGATGACCCAGTGGGGCCTTCTGGAAAAGAGGTGACTGGCTCTTTCCTGGGCTTGGTTCAACCCAGGCTGCACTCATGGACCAGACCGAACCTGGCCATGGGGATATGGGGTCCAGAGCTGCCAGAATCAGGAAGAGCCCCTGAAGGGGGCCCTGAGCGGTGGCCTTCCCTCACCCAGGGAGGCAGGCTTGTCCATCGGGATGTGTCTGGGTCAGATCTACAGCGTGGCCATTTGAGGGGAGACGTCTCCCTGCAGGGTTTTGCTCACTGAGCCCCTGACGAAAGGATGGGCTGAGATGAGGGCAGTAGTCCCAACATGGCGGAAGCTGACAGCAGGCCAAGCAGACGTTGACCCAGAATCTGGGTCTGCGCCCTGCTTTGGATGGAAAGAACTTTGCCTGCTAATGACAGGGTGAGGCCTGTGTGAGTCTGTGAGCCACACCCCAGACATACTCCACTGCAGAGTGAACTCCCACGGGAGACGCATGGGAGAGGCCGGGAGGGACCACATGTGGCTGGGTGGGGATGCCCACTAAGCCATACGGGACTGCACCGGGGATGCCGGAGTGCAGACAGCACCCAGAGGACAGTAGGTCACAGTGGAGGGTGGCCACAGGTGGGCTGGAGGCCAGGCCAGGCACTAAATCTCAGCAAGGAGCCACCCACCCCTGAGGGAAGGAGAGCATTTGGAGTCCCCTATCAGCCAAGGTAGCCTTGCAGGGGTGGACAAAGATGAGGAGCATCAGGGAGATGGCTGGGAGAGGACCAGCCCTGCCCAACACCATCAAGGGACCACAGCCTGGACTGAACTTGCCCCGACCACTTAGATGGGATTTTTGCCTGGTGTCCACTGAGGGCTGGGATGGTGAAAATGACAGTCTAGTCTTTGGACATTTCAGTGAACTAACAGACCAGAGGCAGTGGCCCAAGGCTGGGCAGTGACCTGAATAAGTTTTTACAGCATGGCCACGGGGAGGGGTGAGAGGCCAGGAAGGAGTTTCCAGTTTCACCCTCATTCTTTGGTTCTTCCAGATGTTTGGCACATGAGAGGTCTAGGAACTTACTAATGACACTGCATGCCCTGACTCCCAGAGCCTGAGTCTGTTGGAAACATAGGAGAGCACAGAGACACAGAAAAGCTCACTGAAGGCTGAGGTGGAGGTAGCTCTGGGAGGTGAGAGCATTCAAGAGGCACTTGATCCCACTGAAGTGCTTGGGATGGTGTTGTAGATGGGGCAGTCTTGAAATGGGTTCTGAAGGATAAGTAGGAGTTCTTTAGGTGAAAACTGAGGGCAAGAGTAAAAAGTGAGTGAACAATCTAATGCCTTCAGAAAATGTGACTTTGGGCTTCTGGTTCCCTTCCTGAAAAATGGCAATAATCTACCCCTAAAGTAATAGTCTCAGGCCCAGGAGCACATTAGAGCTTTAAAAATCTTCATTCCCTGAGTATCTCTCCAGAGATTCTGGTTGAGTTGGTATAAGATAAAGCCTGGGTGAGGGTGCTTTTAAGAAGAATCTCTCCTGCTGATCATAATGAGCCTCTAAGTTGAGAATGTCTGCTGCGAGGAGGGGAGCAGGCATAGCTCAATGGTCAAGCATGTGCTTAGCAGGCACGGAGTCCTGGGTTCAATCCCCAGCACCTCTTTTAAGAAACCTAAATTAAAAATTTTTACAGCCAAAAAAAAAAGAAGAGAGAGAGAGAGAGATTGAGAATCTCTGCTCTGATGCATGTAGGAAGGATCTGGGACATCTCTGAAAACGCTAAGCTTTCTCACACCACCAGATACCAAAAATTTCTGCAAAGCTATAACAATTATGATGGTGAGGTGTTGGCACAAAGATACACTAATCAACCAATGGAACAGACTAGAGAATCCAGGACAGGCACACCCAAAAAGAGCCACCTGCTATGTGACAAAGGCCATCTGCAATTCAGCGAGGAAAGGATGGTCCTTTTGACAAATTGTGCTTGAAAGTCTGAACATCTATATGGGGAAAAAGCGAACTTTAACCTCATCTTGCTCCATATACAAAAACTAATTTAATAAATCATGGACCCAAATGTGAACGGTTCTAGAATGAGCCATAAGAACTGCAGATATTCAATGATTTTTTTAAACCTTAAAAACCACAATTATCAAGACAAATAATCTTCCAGAAGAAAATACAGTAGAATATCTTCATGACCTTGAGAGAGGCAAAGACTTCTTAAACAGCACACGAAAAGTACTAACCATAAAAAAGTAATGAATTTATCTTCACTAACATTAAGATTTTCTGGTCACCGAAAGTCACCTACGAGAGTACAAAGGCAAGACACAGCCTGGGAGATGGCATTTAGAAGACGTATATCTGATAAAGAACTAACACTACCTGATTTTTAAAACTTCTACAAATTGATAAGGAAAAGACCAGGACTTAAAACGCAGGCAAAGACTTGAACAGGTGCTTCACCAAACAGGACACCCAAATGGCCCAGAAGCATCTGGAAAGGTGCTCAGTGTCGTCAGTCATCAGGAATGTACCAAGCAAACCAGCGCGCTACTACTGCCCACCTACCAGTGTAGCTGAGATTAGAAGGACTGACAGCTCCTGGGTGTGAAAAAGTGAAACTCGTACACGGCTGGTGGGTGTGTCCGCTGGCACCGTGGAAAACTGGTTGGCAGGACCCATTAAGCTAAACCTGTGCTTAGCCTTTGACCCATTCGTGTACCCCAGGGTGTGTACCAACAGAAATGTGTGCTTGTGGGTTCGCAAGACACCGGCACTGGAATGCCGATGGCAGCTTTATGTGACAGTCCCAGAGTGGAAGTGACTCAAATGTCCATTCACAGGAGAACGTCCTTAATGGACAAGTGAAGAACACGGGGAAATACGCATTGAAGCATCGTGAATAGGGGCTGGCTTTGTGTTTCTTCTTTATCTCATTCACCTCATCTTACTTTCTCCTTTCTCCTTATCTCTGCAGAACAGGGCACTTTCATTCACATTATCGACAAAAATTCAATTAAGTATCAAGTTAAGAAAGCAAAGAGGAAATTTTATTCAAACCAAACAGGATTACAGCCCGGGAAACAGATTCTCAGAAAGCTCTGAGAACCGGTCTGTTTATTACATACATTTTGTACACAGTCATCTACATTTTGAAACAAAGGATCGTACCTCAAAATGACATACTGATACTTTATATAAAGTTCACCAAGAATACGGAGTCCAGCTAAGCACATACAAAACCAGCAATGAATCATCACGACCCCCAACAGAGATGAGAGAGACGCTCTTCTTTTAAGGAGTGATGTTGCTACCATAAGAAGAAAGGAAAAAATTTGTTTTTTACAGAATGGAGCAGGCCTTGCCGTATTTGAAGAGTGCTGGTGAATGTATAATTCAGATGCATACTGAGCACCAGGGAAGAAGGGAGGAGGCCCAAAGAAACACAGGGGAGAATTTTATGTTTAATTCTTGTCCTGCATTAAAATACAAATTTTATTTCATCAACATTGTTAGTAGATATAGTTACTGATAGGTATTCTGTATTTTCTAACATCAGCGTTGTCATTTAGATGCTGTTAGACCCATTTTACATATGAGAAAATGGAGGTTCCTATAGCCAGGTAATTAGCAGACCCAGGACTGAAAAATCAAGCCTTCTGGTTCCTAATGCCTTGTTCTAGTGACATCTCTGGATGATGATAAATGGGGGTCTGTGGCCACAGTATTTCACAACCAGAACTGATCCCTGAAGCCCCGTCCAGACTGGTGCTCCAGCCCCTACAACCAGGCCTGGGAAGGATGAAGGATGCATGTGGATCCTCGTGGTCACCTTGGCTCTTGGTTCTCTCCCCTAAGACACACACGCACGAGCGCGCACCACACACACACACACACACACACACACACTTGGATTAACCTCCTCAGCCCCTCCCTTCCCTTGATCTTTCCCCTGGTCTTGCTCCCCCCGCCTCCAAGTCCTCTCTCTCCAGCCTGCAGCCTCCAAGCTCCACAAGCCTCACTTGCGAACAGGATGGGCCTCTGCCCGGGACCTGATGAGCCTGCCTCCTCCACTCCCGCCCCTCCCCTTGGAGCAGCCTGGCCAGCGGGCCGTACAAGGGCGCACGCCCAGACAGCAGCACGTCTG